AGTGTCACCCATGTTAGTCTGCCCCTTAATCCTTGCCTATAAGCTCTCAGCCAGCCCCTTGCCCACTTCAGGCAGAGCTGCATACATTCCCACTGCTCTCTCACATGAAAGGCAACTCCCCCTCCTTGCCTTCTTGGCTTGTTCTACCTAACATTTCATGAGCTTTTTGTTTTGTGCACAGGCTTTAACCTATCACTAGCCAGATAAGTATTTACTTTGTTACCTCCATGCATCTTTGGCAGTCCCTTGTTTACTGGCAACAAAAACTTACAACAGCATGGCAACTTATTTTCAGATACAGATTTAACTTTTTGTTTCCTTTCCCTAAAAATTTGTTGCTATCTTGTTTCTGTTGCAGCACTCATGATGTTTTTTGACTGAGGTTACTGCAGCTTTGCAAAGGCACCAACTTTCATAGCCAGCATGTGGAAGCTGGTCTCCTCATGAAATCAGCTTTTTCATTTGAAACAATGTGTCCAAACAGCACTTCTAAAGGTGATTAGAGATGGTGTTATTACAGGCTGCCTGCTTTTAGCTAAGGAAAATTGTCTTTTAGCCAATTAAAATAAAAATAAAACCACCTCACAGTTGCAACTTCAAGAGCAAAGATCAGTAGCTGTCACCATTGCAGAAAAGAAGCTTTATTTGCTCCTGTTTCAGGCAAGGCTAGCATATACGCTGAATTCATTCATTTCTGGAATGGTACACATCCCTGTTAGCGCATAGTACTCTACTGGAAATGGGACAATTTCTCCCCATGCTGTAAGTCAGTCAGATGTGCCCTTATCTGCTTCAGGTGTTCAGGTGCAGTGCAAGTCTGTAGTGTGTTACTGGAAGGGTAAAAAATGAATTAGCTTGCCTGAAGGGGCTAGAATTAAAGCTAATCTGATACTGAGCACAAAAAGCTCCCACAAGGTTCCTGGAGTTATCCTGCTACCGAGGCATCTCTCTGCTTGGATTATGTCAGAATGATTTTGGGGTAATCCTGCTGGAATCAGAACTGTATTTATGCATTAGAAGCAATGAGACATAGCTATGAAAAAAAAAGACGTAGCATGAAAAAAAAGAGACATAGCTATGAAAAAAAAACCTAAACACAGCAAAATGTTACTGCAGCTTTCCTTATTTATTTTGTATGACATACTAGAGTCAGCCTGAGTCCCCCTTGATCTGTACAAATACACAGTTTTGTCAGGCTTATTGGCCAGAAGTAGTCTGTGCTGCTGTTGTTCAGAAGGCAGACATCCAGCTTTGTTCACAGCACACCAAAGAAAGCAGTGACCTTGTCACAGTGGACACAGTGGTGAGGTGAGGCCTCACCAGGGCTCTCCTCAGCCCTGGGGAGGCCTCACCTGGAGTACTGTGTCCAGTGCTG